TGAAGAAGTGAGGTTTTTACCCACGAAAGCTTATGCCCAAATAAATCTGTTAGTCTTTAAGGTGCCACCAGACTCCTTGTTGTTTTTGTAGATACAGACTAACACGGCTACCCCCTGATACTTGACAGCTTCGATAAACATTAATCTAGACTCCACTAAAAAGATGAATAAATGAAAAAATGAAAAGGGTCAGAAAGTTAGACAAAAAACAAGCAAACCAAGAATTACAGTTGTCATTCTTAGAAATCATAAAATCATAGAATATCAGGGTTGGAAGGGACCTCAGGAGGTCATCTAGTCCAGCCCCCTGCTCAAAGCAGGACCAATCCCCAGCTAACTCATCCCAGCCAGGGCTTTGTCAAGCCTGACCTTAAAAACCTCCAAGGAAGGAGATTCCACCACCTCCCTAGGTAATTCCGGTGCTTCACCACCCTCCTAGTGAAAAAGTTTTTCCTAATATCCAACCTAAACCTCCCCCACTGCAACTAGAGACCATTACTCCTTGTTCTGTCATCTGGTACCACTGAGAACAGTCTAGATCCATCCTCTTTGGAAACCCCTTTCAGGTAGTTGAAAGCAGCTATCAAATCCCCCCTCATTCTTCTCTTCTGCAGACTAAACAATCCCAGTTCCCTCAGCCTCTCCTCATAAGTCGTGCTCCAGCCTTCTAATAATTTTTGTTGCCCTCCGCTGGACTCTTTACAATTCGTCCACATCCTTCTTGAAGTGTGGGGCCCAAAACTGGACACAGTACTCCAGATGAGGCCTCACCAATGCAGAATAGAGGGGAATGATCATGTCCCTCGATCTGCTGGCAATGCCCCTACTTATGCAGCCTAAAATGCCATTAGCCTTCTTGGCAACAAGGGCACACTGTCGACTCATATCCAGCTTCTCATCCACTGTAACCTCCAGGTCCTTTTCTGCAGGATGGCTGTGATGAAGGATGGCTGTGATTAAATAATATAAATGATTGTTCCCCACAGATTTAAATTCAGAAGATAAGTGAGCCCAAAAGCAAAATATTTGTCCTTCTAATTTTGAATTATATCTAATGGAGTAAGATTAATGCCATAAAACTAAAAGAATGCATTTAACGTGGCTATGCTTACTTTAGTCCCACAAAAGAGAATTTCTGTTTTGACTCCAGATTTGGACAAATTGCAGACATTCCATTCTGGATATAAGACAAACAGTCAGCTAGAACTAAGAAAGAGAGAGAAAGAGCTACAGCTAGCCAGATACAAATATAAAAATGGATAATCAGATTATACTGTTTAACAGCTGATTTAATGGGAACATACAAATAATTAACAGCATAGGGGTCAAAATAAAGCCTGGCGTGGAGGGATCACTAAAACAAATGGCTACAGGCTGTGCAGAAAAGAATCACAAGAGCTACATTTAATTTTCCAAAAAGGTAAGACTAAAATTAAGAAAATCCTGTAATGGGAAGGCTTGCCTAGAACTCCAAGACATCCTGAAGGATCCCATGGTCAATAACATCAAAGGCAGCACAAAAATCCTCAAAATATGGACAGAAACAAGCCAGCCATAAATAGGGACTTTCCGAGATCTCAATCCACTCTGGAACTTTTCAAGAAAGAAATTTGACTGAGTTGTTGCTACTCCTAAATTGCCATCACCACCTTTAAAATCATTTGCAATAAAGAAAGAAAACTAGAAATGGAAGGAGGATGTCTAGCATTCAGAAATCAATTATCTGGGGAGGGGGCTTGATGGGTTAGGAAGTCAAAGCAGCTCTAGAGTAAAAAGAAAGGTTTAAAAGAGGCATTCACCCACGAAAGCTTATGCTTCAATACATCTGTTAGTCTTAAAGGTGCCACTGGACTCTCTGTTGCTTTTTATCAAGATGATGTCCTTACTAAAAGTATCCAGCAATAGCATTTAGAATCCTTGCAAAAAACATAACTTCAAGCGATATCCAAAAAACAACAACGAGGAGTCCTTGTGGCACCTGAGAGACTAACAAATTTATTTGGGCATAAGCTTTCATGGGCTATAACCCACTTCCTCAGATGCATGGAGTGGAAAATACAGCAGGTAGGTATAAATATACTGCACACAAAAGCTTATGCCCAAATACATTTGTTAGTCTCTAAGGTGCCACAAGGACTCCTCGTTGTTTTTGCTGATACAGACTAACACAGCTGCTACTCTGAAAAGTGATATCCAGTCTCTTCTCATTCTGACATATTTTCAATGATCTTTTTGATAAGAAACAAAGCTTTGTTTTCAGGTGTATTTTTTTTAAAATGAAAAATATTTATCTGGTGATGCTCAATTAATCTTGTCTGAAATGTTCATGATGTCCCCAAGTATTTGTAAGTTTGGTTCATACAATGCTTTGAATTATTTCATATATGTCACTTATTCAGTGGAAAAAATATTTTAATTCTAATAAACCAAGATAAATGTGCAGCTTCAAAAAGAATACAGAAATATTGTTTTCATTTAATATATTCTAATGTTGCTATAGTGGAAAACAACAGACCAGTTTATTGCAAATAACCCCTCAAATGTTTCATTTGAAGATTCACTTTTGAATTCACTCACAGGAAACATTTTAGAGATAAAATGGGAATCACCATTATTAGAGTGTCTTGCTTAAGCATGAGGCATACTGACTCACTTATAGATCTATGTTATAGCGTCACAGAAATTGTTGATCTTTAAGATTAAAAGAACAGTTATCAAGGTATTAAGTCAAACAACAGAATAAGAATTATCCCATCTATTATTATCACATGGAACAGAAAGTGGCAGGAATTAAATCAAAGAACCTGTGCTGTTGACGCAGCATATTTTTCTAGGGCCTGCTTCTCACATGGGATCAATCCTCCAAAGTGCTGACTACTCTGGACCCAATCCAGCAAAACACTTCAGCATGTGAAAACAGTCCCACTGACTTCAGTGGGGTTACTCACATTCCTAAAGTTATGCACATGTTTTAGAATGATATTGAAATTCTGAGAACAAAGGAAACGTTATTGAAATCTATATAAATACCAAAAAGTGAAATCCATCTACAATGAATTTTGATACAGTGAAATGTTTTTTAAACTGAAGTAGAACTAAAGTCCACAGTTCTACTCATAATTAGAGCAAGCACAATCCCATTATAATGAACTTCACTTAAAGTACATTTATTCTGTGGAAATATTTCACTATAAAATGCTACCGTGGAATACACCTTGCCCCTAACATTAACTAAAGTAGTAACAATCAGAGTCTGTACCTGATAATCTGAAGGCATGACAGGCCCGCCTGAGTTAGTGCCTGAAGGCCCTATGCGTGGTTTCTTATTTGGAGGCACCTGATTGAGGCTGGAGTCCTGGCTGTGCTGAAGTCCTGCCCCAGTGCCGCCTCCTCCTGCGCCACCGCCTCCTGCAGTCCCATTTGTCTGGGCACTGTTTTGCTGTTGCTGAGGTGCTGCTTGCGGTTGCTGCTGAGGTGCTGTTTGTTGCGGATGTTGATTCTGTGGCTGTTGATTCTAAGAGAAAGCACAGCTGGGGATGGTCACTTTTCCCCTGAATTATTTATTTACATTTGGTGTCACAAACTCTTCAGAACCCCTAAACCACAACGTGGGTGAGAACTAGCCACAGGACAAAGCACAGCTGGACTGTAGTGAAGAGCACCAAAGTGAGTGAAATATCTGTCCTCAATACGCTGTTATTTGCTCCAGGTAGATATTTGTGAACTGAGGAGGGAGGGATGAATTTCAAAGTTACTTAAACTTTGTGGGTTTGAAATTTCAGAATAGAATAAAATTGTGGTTCATTTTTAAAAATAAGGTGCACTGGGGAAAAAAAGCAACTTGAATGACAATCTAGTACCTCCTATCCCTAGCCAGCCAATCCAGCTCAGCTTAATAATGAGACGGATGGAAGGAACTATCAAGAAAATGGTGGTGGTCACATCACGAATGAGTGCAAATAAGCTGCAGCAAGGCAGCCAGATAGCAGTGGTGAGCAATAGCAAATAAAGTAATAATACTTTGCACTTCAATGGCACCTTCCACCCAAGAATCAAAACAACTTTCCAAACATTAATGAAGCTTCACAGCAATCCTGTGAGGCAGGTGGCATTATCTCCATTTTACAGATGAGTCAATTGAAGCACAGAGAGATGAAATGAGTTGTCCAAGGTCACATAGTAAATCTGTAGCAGAGCTGGGAATAGATATTCCAACTCCTGAGTTACAGTGCTATGCTTTAACCACCTTGCAATGAGAGAGATGCTGGGAACAGGCCAAGCATGGTGCCCTAGACACAGGGTCAGAGAGTCTTGGTGGTAGCAAGAGGAAGAGAGTTTGTTAGAGCAGACTGCCTGGAGATAGGGTTGCAGGCCAGTGTTTTCTGGGGCTGAAGGAAGGATGTGGTGGCAGAGAATGAGGGGAAAAGGTAGCTGAAAGAAGGGAGGGAGAGAGAGACGTGAGATAATTGAAAGAGACACTAGTGCCTGGTAGCAAATAAAAGAAAGGGGAAGGAGCCAGAAAGCAAAGAGAAAAAGGGCAGAACATATGGATGCAGAGTATAGGAGCTGGAGAGCAAAGGAGGCTCTGGTGGCCTGGCAGCAGAGACCTAAGGTCTTGAAAGAATGGAGGGTGGAGCGTGATAAGCAAGAGTTCCACAGATATCCAGCTGTAAAGAAACAGAACCATCTGGCATTGTAAAAGGTTCTTATTGCCGAGCATCCATGCAGCCAAGGGGATTACAACAGTGACCATTTTTATTTGTTGTTCATATAAGATATAAAACTTTCTCTTTAGAGAAACAAAAACACATCTTTATTGCAGTCTGAGTTTCACCAGCCAATAAATAAAAACTCTAAAATGTTGCTCAAAATATTTGAGCACTTTTTGGTTAACACTTTAAAACTTTATAAAATTCTGAACTCATTTCAGTTCTTCCAGGGTCTTGGGGGTGAGGGGTCTGCTTAACCAGACAACAATTTATCAGAGCTTAAATGTGGTCAACCTTTATGGAAAACTTAAATAATTCGCTTCCCATAAGTCATAGCAACCAATTGCCTTCAGCACAAACTTCTTGGCAGAGTCACTAATCACAAGCTATTTAGCGTCCTCAAACTAAAGTGTGCATCGATTGCCATTCATCACGACAATGTCACAAGTTACACTCCAGATGAAATTCATAAGAATGTATTTATTTAGGACTGCACAAAGGCTCATACTGTCTTGCATCTACATGGAGGGCTTATGTCTCCCTTTCCTATCTGCTAAAGCCAAAAATATATCCTACTTCCTGTGTGCATCATACAAGTCACACCCAGTTTCTATTTCAGGGGAGATCAACAAGTTAACTTGTTACGCTTTTTTTTTTTTTTTAATTTAATGAAGTTTAACTTTAAAAAAAAAAGAAGTTATTTATCTCACAGAGGTAGATCAAACCATTATTAAAGATCCAAATGAACTGTCATATTTAAGACCCCATTTGTATCATAGTGATTAGATTGTCATTTTTTTCAATTAATTATTTGACATTTTGTGATTTTTACATATGGGTGCTTGGGTCTGAGCTGAACCATTTTCACTATGAATCCCCACAGCTGCCAAGTTGAAACCTGGGCTGCATGAAAAACAGAGAGAACTCTCTCAACTGGGGCTAATGATTTGTTTCACGGGGGCACGGATCATGGAGTCCATGTTTTTTCTGGCTTTGGACAGGTGAGGCATGGAGATTACCTAGCTGGTTTGAGAAATCTGTGTAGTGCAGCTACTGTTCCTTTTGCTTTTGAAAGAGGATGAGGCCTAGTCTACACTAGAAAAGTTTGCCAGTATAGCTATAGTGGCAACTCCCCTAGTGTAGATGGCAGTTTATACTAGCAAAAGAGTGTTTCTGCCATTACCATTTTTAACAGTTATCTGAATGACGTAAGTTATATCAATGTGGAGAATGAGGGCTATAACTGTGTTATTTTGTTATGAAAATTATATGTACCTCAGTTTGCCTGTCTGATATTATTCTGTCTGACTACATGGAGTTGAATTTAGAAGGGGTTGTAAGGAAGAGCAAGCAGGGACCAAAACAATGGTCAGAGATAAGCTCTGTCTGGGTAAACAAGTTCAGAGGGACAATAGCTGGGCGATTAAATTGGGAAGATGCTCTTCCCAGATGCCGGCTAAAAGCGACGCGCTGTTTTGCGAAAGCCAGAGCCTAGATATCAAAAGGACAATAAATAGTTCAAAGCAACCCGTGGAGAAGGGAAGGGGTTGTGGGAACTGCTACTAGAGGTGACACATTTTGAATTCAGCGGCACAGTCTGCAGAGGTGAGGTTACCTAGGTTGAGTGGAACCCTCCTAAACTTGCATGGAAAGGAATAAGTCTAGGTAAGGCCAGACACATGTACGTTTTTGTTGTTTTCACCCATTTATCTGATCACAGTGTATCTTTGGGTGAATCAACAATACTTTTGTTTGGAAGGAGCTGTTTTGAGTCACATTAATAAGTTGCTGGTCACAGGCTCCTGGAGGAAAGTTTCTTGCAGGTGCCAAGTACATACAAGTCTACTGTGTTAACATGAAAATAGGAGGATCCTGCCACCACAGGATCCAGTCTAAGAATGGTAGACCTGTGTGGTTACACCCAAAGAGAGGTAAGGCAGTGAAACCTGTCAGTTGAGGGGTGCACTCAAGAGGGACTGCAAAGGGATCTAAGGCACAGTTCGCTCTGTAGCAATGACAGCATGGTTGACTAAACATGTTGTAGCTTGGAGGTCCACTCTAAGGTGAGATGAATGCCCACAGAGAGACAGGGAGAAAGCACTGTTATAGTTCACCCCATGACAACAGGCAAAAGCACTTACTTGCTAGTATAACTATGTCCACACTAAGGCTTTGGCCATATAGAAATGTCATAAAAATAAAGAAATCACACCAGTAACTGACATTACTATACCAGCAAGTTTCTAGCATAGACCTGCCTGAGTCTGGGAAGCAGTGCTGGAGACAAGGCAGATGCACCTCGCCCCCACAGGCTTTCAGGCACTGCTGCCACTGCAGGTCTGAGCTGGCAGGCACTGGTGCAGTGGTTTCCAGTGTTTTGAAATGGTTGTGAACTGTTAGAGGTCGTTAAGTGGTTTAACCCTTTTTTTAAATGATGAATATTGGCAACCAGTGACTGGGAATTGGTTTAACCCTTTTTTTAAATGATGAATATTGGCAACCAGTGACTGGGAATTTGTCTTTTATTCTATTTCCAGGACCAGATCTGCCTCACAGGGTTGCTGTGAAGCTTTATTACTTGTTTGGAAAGTTGTTTTGATTCTTGGGCAGAAGGTGCCACTGAAGTGCAAAGTATTTTTACTGTTAATATAAATTACTGTGGCAAACAACAAGCTTTAGTAAGCATGTATTACTTTTTCAAGACATTTAGTAAACTATTTCAAGACCGTATTTTATGTGACAGCTATTGCAGAATCATTGTTCCTTCATGTCCATCACTGCAATAAAGGGTTTTGCTGTTTTCACCCATTAAGCTGAGTATCTTCCCACGGAAGGGATCTTTGTCACTGCTCTGATTATTGCAGCATTTGTGACAACACAATTACGTTGTGCCTGCACTCTACTAGAAAAGTAAATCTGACATTCAGGAACTGCATAACTCAATGGGATGAAACTTGTTATATAGTAAAGGTGTAAGGACAGCAGCACATTCCCCTGCACTGCCACCCTCATTCGTTCTACTGTTTTAGTTAGAAAAAAAATCTAGCCATGTGTCTGAAACAAGGGGAGGTTTACTTAGGAAAAAATCACTGGGTTTTGTTTTTGTGAATACTTATTTAACTTTGCTGACTAATGAAAATTTTGGAGAAAGGATGTTTTTATTAAAGATTTACCCTTCCGTTAAAGTGTAAGAGCTCCAGATAACCATCTCAGAGACCCCCTGTAAGCCTTCCAGCAAAACCAGGAAAGACCAAACTTGACATTCCTGATGTTAATATGTTTTTTTTTTTAAATATTCTAAGTCTTTTTTATACATCATAAAGCAGCAAAACATGGTACAAATCCATTTTTTAAAAACACCCTTCACTGGTTACCTTTAACAAACTTTTCTTGTTGTGGAAACAGATTCAATGAGTAATACATAGTTTTAAATGTCATTTTTTTCTAAATTAACTAGATATGCTGCAAAATCTTTATTTATAGCACGCATAAATATGTGACAGTCCCCACGAGACACAAAGGCTATTTACACAACAGATCATAATAGCTGCTTTGAATATTTATACTGTGCGTGTCATTTTTGTTTAACTAAATAAAATTTCCCAAGAAAATGAAATGCAAATATATACTTTAACACTCACAAATGAGTAAAATCAACTTAACAAAAGCCAAACTCATTTGAACTCATGTTGTTCCTTATTGTTCGGTAACCGAAAGTTTAAAAAGCATTGCTAAATCTCGGAATTTCAATTACATCAGTATCATGACTCCACGGCTATTTTAATTTAGGTTTTGTAAATTCCTAGTCTCAAAAAAAGACCCGGGGAACAAAATCCTGAGGATTTAGTAGATTAACATTTCCCCCTGCTCTGACACTGTCACATGTAAAAGAAATACTAATCTACAATATCAGCTCAGAAAGTAGAATTTACTCTTTCAAATGTATCACTGATAGGCACAGCTTTAAATCAAACTGGGCTCCCATGTTGTACAGACTGTCTGAACCAGAGGACATGCATAACCAGAGGGTTCCTCTTGGCTCAATAACAGGCCCTGTCCCATGCAGACGCCAGGACAAGTTAATTACAGCATGAGGCCTCTTTCTCTTTCTTCTGTTAGCCATGTATTACTAACAGTGTCTGACTAGCTGTAAATTTTTAAGTTTAGGAAAAATACAAACAATCTTATTCACTATAATTTACTATGCATGAATGTGAAACTTTCTAATGTACTGTGAAAAGTTTTGGGACAGTCTTGCCTTCAAAACACATTCCTGGGTAAGAGCCCATGTTCTTTTAGTTTCCCTTTGTGGCATCACAACTTTTTTGTTACATTTTGAAAAAAAGTGCCTTTTATTATACCTTATCTCCTTTTTCTTCGGGTTCATCCTCATTGAGGAATTCTCGTTTTGGATAAGGAATCTGGCAGCCAGCAAACACACTGAAATATATCAAACAGCAAATCAGAGACATACTAAACATACATGCTTCTGAAATTAATTTATTTAATGTCATATATATTTCAGGGCTTTTTCTTTTAATGTTTGTTATGCCTTGACTCCAAATTACTAAGTGACACCCTATAAACACCCAACAGATATATAACTACTGGTAGATGTACACTGATTTTAACTTTTGCTATATTTGCTGTTGGCAAGCTGCCTTCCTCTAGAATTATAGCAGAACTGAGTGAGCACAAATGACAGCACAATTATTTGCTGTCCTGACACTGCATTTGTTCACTTTGCTGTGTGAATCAACCAGAAACTCTATAGCACTTAATTGGAAGTATGGATGGCACAGTGGATTGAGGGCCTGATCCAATGCCCATTAATGTCATGGGATCTTTCCATTGACTTCAACGGCTTTTGTATCATGCCCTAAATGTACTAGCTAATTCATCTCTGGAGAACTGGAATCAATTAGTCTCAGGGGCCTTGTTTAGAAGGAAATAAAAAAGAAGTTTTTAGATTGAGTCAACTAATATGATTTGAAATACTATTTAGTATCTAGTGTACACACAGTTTAATACCTTTAAAATCATGTTGCCAGGTGTTGTGACCTAGGCAGAAGTAGACCAGTATGAAAGAACAAAGACCTACTAGTAGATAATATTTTGTACCAATTTTAGTTTCAGCAATTCTTGCTGTTGAACCTTTTGGGGGTAACCTGTGTTGCAATACAATCAGCTTAACATGATTTTGAAAGTGCTAACCTGGGTCTACGATAATTGCTAAGTGGCATTTCAAATCATAATGGCTAACTTGATTTTTTTTTTAAATTCTTTTTTCCTAGTCTAGACTAGACCTGTGCTTTCTTCCATGAGGGCTCCTACATCTGGAATCCATTCCCTGTCTATCATGCCTCCTCCATAAATTCCATTTTAAGCATTCTGTTCTTCTAGGAGGCTGTGGAGAGTGAGGGGGATATCAGTATTATATTTTATGAATATCACATATTCCTCAGTTTACCTGCTTGATATTAGCTTGTCTGGCTGCATGGAGTGAAATCAAAGAAAGCTGTTGCGGGGAAATACACAGAAAACAAACAGTACCACAGATAAAGTACCTTCAGAGAGAATACCCAAGGTTGTTAAGGGAACAATGAGGGAGCTATTACTTTGAAATGCCCACCTGCCTGACTCCAACAAGGCTAGCAAGGACCAGGCCAGAGTCTAGGATCAGTGGGGACACTCATCCAATAAAGGCCCCAGCCTAGGGAAGATGGGGGTTTGAGTGGGCAGCAGCTGCTGGAGGTGGATATCTGATTGACAGACAAAGAGAACGTTGCAGGGACTCTCTCTCTCTTTCCCAAGCCCGGGGAACCGGTACTTGGGGTAAATGGAACTTACCTAAACCTTGAAAGGAAAGAGTAAAATGTAAGGCCCAGGCAACAGGCCTCTTTGTTTTAACCCTTTGCTCTGCTTTTTATTCACCTTTGAGTGAATTAACAAGACTTTGCTTTGAAGGAGGTGTTTTTGAGTCACTTTAATTGGATCCCGGTAACAGGCTCCCAGAGGAAAAGGGCATACAGATGCAAAATATAGTTAGGCCTGTTGCATTATCACAGTTGGTAAACAGGGAACCTGCAGTCCAGAGATCCTGTCAATGGGTTGTAGGACCCCCTAGTTCCACCCAGAGAGGCATTCACTTGAGAAGGATTGAAAGGAGTCTAAATGTGCAGCTTGTTCTGTAACCATGACAGCATCCTATAATCCCTAGAACTCCCCTCAAATAATTAACAAAAGAGTAAATATTTTTTTGAAATCCAAACAAATATCATAGGACTAACAAGACTCATGATAAATGTCATTGCTTGATCGCTCACAGACTTTTGTTGCATTGTAAGCTCTTCAGGGGAGGGAATCTCTTTTTTATACATTTATAAAGTGCCTGGCACAATGGGGTTCTAGTCCATGACTGGAGTTCCTAGGTGCTACCATAATAATACATAAAATAATAACAAAATAAATAAATAAAAAATAATCCCATGCTGCATCTGTGAATTTTCTATTCAGATAATAAAGTTTCCTGGACAGGGTTTTTATTGCCTTTCTGGCTGAAAAGCTCCTAGCACCCTGTTGGCACAATTAAATAATTGTATACAAAAAACACTATGTTAAAAGAATAGTCAGTTTGCAAAGACAAGCACTCAAATGTTAGGAAATTCAAGAATAAAGGTGACCATGCCCCTGCATACAGTTATTAATTACTTGATCACATGCTATTTTTACCACAGCATCCCTGCCTCACTAAATACATGGGATGGATAGGACTCTTCAAATGGGTAGATATTCATATTTCTTTTTATCCTCTTCATAGAGTGGGTGGCCTTTCGCCTTATTTACTGCACACCATCCAACTCCTGCATGGAATACAGAATTATTAATTTCCTCATGAGCTTTTCCATGCTGCTCATCATTGTGGCATAAGAGTACTTCACAAACACTAATGCATAACATTTATAACACCCCTGTGGGTAGGGAAGCATTACCATCCACATTTTATAGCTGGGGAACTAAGGCACAGAGAGATTAAGGCCAAAACTATCAAGTGTCCACTAAATTTGCTCAGCTTGAGATCCATTGGCATGTGGATAGCAGTTTATATGTTCAAATCACACCTCTCATTGACATTAGATGCAGTTGTGAGTACTCAGCACATTCACAAAGCAGAACATAGGTTCTCAAGCTGGGAACCCATAAAATGAGGAACAAACCATTAGTGGACAATTGTGAAAAGTTTGGTTTAAGTGACTTGCCCAGCACCACATAGGAATTTCATGGCAGAGTCAAGAACAGAATCCAATTCTCTAGGATATCATTCAACTGCCTAAACCATGAAACCATCCTTTCTCTTCCTGCAATCTCCTTCACTACACACCTTCCAACTTCTGCAACAAATGAGGCAAGGGTTTTACAGACAGCCTCATTCACTACAGAACACTGGTTCAGCCCTGCGCAGATCCATCCTGTACACTGAATGAGGCAGGTGTCCTGTGGAAAAGCAGCATGTTATCATGTAATTAAAGTCTGTATCATAACACATATGCACAAGGGAGCTGAATTAAGCTTGCATGGGCAACCTGAAGTCTGGTATTTCCTAATTTTTGAGTGCTTGACTTTGTAACCAAAATGTTCTTTTAATGAAGTATTTCTGATGTAATTTCCTAGAACACTGAAAAAACATTCTATCGTGACAAGTCATCATATTTTTCCTTAACCTCATTCTCAGAAACAGCTAAACCATTTTAAGTGAAACGTCAATAAAAAACCAAAACAAAAACCAGCCTGAGGCAATCCCTACCCAGCATTGAAAATTTCAGCCCAAACGGTTCAAGTTTGGTAAAATTACAATGGAAAGTGGTTCAGCAACCTTAACTACATCAGATGCTGCTGCCAGCTCAGTCTATAATTAATGATAAGACACTAGATTGAGGCCATATGATAAAGTATTTTTGGTATTCTTATCATAACAGCAGCTGTATCTGTCCATGTCACACCACCTCCACTGGCATAATTCAAGGTCTCTGCCTAAGGGAGACTGTAGACTAAGATAAGAGGGGCTGATTTATAAGTAATTGTTCAGAACTAAGTACATTATGTACAGCTTGGCTGAATGATGTATGTCTAAGAGGGGCATATCTACAAGAGTTTGATATAAATACTTCAGAATAGTTTTCTAAGAACCATCACTTCTTTCCCCCCACCATTTACCCACTTTTATTGAGTGCAGCAAGTATAAAGTTGTTGCCCTGCCTATCACTGGTTGATTTACACCACTGGTGCCCCTAGAAAGCTCAGAGGTGGACTCAAGGTGGTGAGAAATATGTTCTTGTTACAAGCACATTTCTTCATTTTTAAATGGTCACCATATACTGCACATTAATAGTTAGCAAAAAAAAAAAAAAAAAAAAGCATCATTGTAAAGAACACAGAAAAAGTGAGACACATACTCTGACGTAGGCAATGGATCCTCCTGGAAATAGGGATCCTGCAAAGCCTGCTCTGAGGTAATTCTCTTCGTAGGATCCATGGTAAGAAGTTTTTGAAGCTGTGTAGTGTAACATTGGAAGTAGTAAACAACTTATGAAACCATTATTTTTCAAACTAATGGCTTGTATGCCCCACTTACATCACGATCTGGTAAACTACAAATGGCTCATTCAGAAAAGCAAAATAAGCATTTCATGCTCAGCAACACGTCTAGTTCTATGATGCACATACATCAAAAATATTATGACTATGAAGTTTTGTTGGTATGAAAAATAAAGTTAACTGGGCTAGATTCTTCAGTGCTCTATGTGCCACCTTGAGCTACTCAAATAAAGTGGCTCTAAATTAAGTGTAACTGTCCGTGACGGATCAGCCCAATATAAGGGTGATTCGCTGCGGGCACACAGATGGAATAGGAGTTATTATGTCACTCCCTGCTGCTGGCAGAGCAGGGAAAGAGGCATAGAGGAAAGTAGGTGAGATCAAGACCTCCTTTTGCCATGCCCTTTGGTACTCTTTGTAGACAACGTATGCAAGAGCAGCCTGAGAGGACTGGTCCCACACAAAGGCTGCATCCAGATCAGAGTGCAAAGGTGATCTTTATGCTACTATTGTGCATACACCCATGGCCTGTCCTCTTTGCAGATGAGCTACACTAGTAGTACACGGGTAGCACTCTGCTCCCATATGAGAGACAAAGATTCTATGTCTGGTATCTCTTGCTCGCGGATGTGAACATTATGCAGGCAATTTGCTCAGCCCCTCGCAGGTAAAGGCCCAACACAAGAGATGGGCTTTGGAGTGTATTTGCAAGGTTTATAAGCTAGGGGTCTGATGGACCTTTCTATATTATAGGTATGTTAAATAGCAAAGAACTAAAGAAAGCATTCATCCTTCAGAAGGAAAGGTGATTCCCTCCCCCGCCCCCTCTCTCCCACTGATACATATATAATTCACAAACTGACATATGATGTAACAATACAGAGGGATTACTTTGCCCGTATCAGAAAGGCAGCCAATTCTGGGGTGAAATGCAGAAGCTGACAATGGCAAATTTGTTAAAATATTAAAAGCCCTGGCTGTAGCTATCATTTATATTTTTAAAATTCATACTTCTCATCCTCCGGTAAGCAGAGACAGAACTGTTTTAATATTACAATTATATTTCAAAGTAAAATAATCCCTAAGAGCACAATGATGTACATACCAAAAGGAAAACTTTACTGTCAGGCTTGACTTTGTGTTTCTCCATGTATTTTATGAGGCTACTATTGGCATATCTGAAAAATTGTAAACACATTTCAAAAATAATATACTGTAGGATTATGGCACTGCACCAAGCAATAAAGAAAATGCATACTAGTCCAAAAGGACACATTTTGTATTTAATTTGTTAGAATATATAATGTCCTACATTGCCATACACTATATTTGTGAAGTGTGAACGTTTGTCCTAGCTTTCAGTGTTAGTATTTTTTAAATTGTTTGTACTTTATTACAATGGAACGTACAGCTTTGATATATGGCTGAGGTCTTGATAGTAGCACACAGCCATAGCAAATGTTGTCGGGAGGGCAGAGCTGCCCTAGCCTAGTGGAAGCTACTTTGTCAGACAGACACAATAGCTCCAACAGTGTAGCCACTGCATCATCATTAGCCATTTGAGAAGCTGTTGCAACTATTCCCTTCAGCTGGCAGAGAAACAAGCCTGTCCCTTTTCCCAACAGAAGCATGAGCCATGTGAAGTCTTCGCATTTCCTGAGCTCAAATATTCCCATTAAGAATAATCAGACATAGAATTTATGTCTTGCTTTTAATCTCTAGATCTCTGTGGGTAACTATGATTATTTTACAAAGAGGGAAACTGATGCACAGAGGCATCAAGTGGTTTGCCAAAGGTCACTCAGAAAATCCAGGGCAGAGCTGGAAATAGTACTTAAATCTCCTGAATCCCAGACCTGTACCTTGTCCTGGACTATGCTGCTCCCTTTACTATTTCCCTTCCTTGTCTACCAGTGCAATGGATGATCTGACTTACTCAGCAAAAACTCTTGCCAGCATTAAAAGATGGACACTAGCATTCTTTTAAAATCCAAATAATACTCTTCCAAAGTCTAAACAAGACAGAAGATAATTGAAGGTAATCTCTAGTGCTGACTTCTGTGTATCTATTACAAGCAGTTTTTAACCACTGTCTGTGGTATAATCACTTACGTTGTTCTCCTAAAGTCTTTTTGAAGTGTGGGATATTCTGGCATCTTCCTTATATCTTCCCAGTCTTTATCTTAGAAAAGATAAAGCAATCGGACAGTTTAAAGTGCAGGTTAAATAATAATGATGTACATAAACTGTAATATTTGTCTGACATTTTATGTTAGTTGTTCTGTATTCTTATTCCACAAGTCCCACCACTTTCTTGGGCAGAGACTTCACATCCATCATACTGCCAGCTTTTATAAAGCTATAGAGCTAGTAATTTCCTTTAAAACAAAATCCAACTCAAAGGGTTTATGCCTGACCTTTTAATGAAAGTAAATTACCTGCTGGGAATCCCATTACACTAAAAATGCGGTCTAGCTGATCATGATGAAAAGGATTGCTCGTTTTGATGTCTTCCTGACGACAGTGAAAAATAGGTTCTGAAGTCAATAGCTCAGCAAATATACACCCAATTGCCCATATATCTAGGAAAGAGAGAAGATAATTTATGTGAATTGACCATATTCCATCAGCCTGATTTCTATTTTACACAGTAAAGACACAGTAACTCACATGAAAATTCATTACAATAATTTAAAACATGCAATAAATTAACACACGGGAAATGGAATAACTGGATCACCACATTTGAGGTTACAAACCAAATCAAACAAACAGTATTGTAAATTCTATCTGAAGTTGGACTCTGGCAATCTAACACAGTATAGCAATACATTCAGAGTTACAGCAGAAGCCCTCCCAGTCTCTGCTGACAACTTAATCACTTGAATGTCCTGAAGATTATCTAAAACAGAACATAATGCTCCAAAAAGGATAGATTGAAATAATAGCTCTATCAGATACTCTCACGCAATTCCTATAAGGCAATCAAATATATACTGATAAGGAAAAATTATAACAGCTTGTGTGACTGGGCAAACAATGCAGACTAGATAAAATGAAGAGCGCAAGATCCAAATTTTAGCTAAGAAAGAAGACAGACTGTAGCTTTCTCAACCAATTAAATAGACTCTGATACATGCTCAGTAATGCCCATTGGAACCATTTTACAACAGTGTACTCTACAGTAGCTTAATAGCAAGTGCATTAATGAACAGTACAACAGACTGATCATCTCAATGAAAGCAAATTCTAGTAACATTAATTTGATACAAAAAGGTTTTGTGTTCTGTCATGTTAACATGGTATTCAAAACAAAATCTACCAGAATAGCAACTTCAGTTATGTTAAATAAATCTATAGATTATATGTGATCTAGCTAACTCCACTAACAGCAGTCCTAGAGTTTTCTGTACTACAACAAACTTACATTATGCTAAGTACCCTAAAAATGTACAATAGTCAAGCAATGGGCTTGAGGACGGGGAAAAAAAATACTGGCAGCTGAATTAGGCACCACCAGAAAAATAATTTTTAATTTTTCTTTATAGTACCCTTTGTATTATTTTCTCCAGTTAGTTTTCAGTCTCCCAAATTTCTCCACTTCCTTTGAGAAATACCATTCCACAAGTCAACATCTTATCATCAGACATTTTCCTGATGGTCATCTTAAATTTCCCCTTTCAATATTTCATCCCATTACTTTTATACACATTTAGGTCACATTCTCAAGTGTTGTCTTGCTTTGATTTTATTATTAGGGGTATTCGCATGAAAACAACATCTTTTGTTCTTAAGATTTTATCTCCTTCTGCAGCATGGGCAGCCTGGTATTTATATAATTTCTATGTGGGTCAAGTGAAAAGACTTAATCATTGAGTCTTACATGAGGCGTTTAACTTCTTCCACTAAAAATAAAATATGCAATCAGTGATCTCCTTTTGGTGGCAAAGATGACCTGGAAAACCTCCTCAGATATGGCACATTAAACTTTGGAAGTCTATTCCCTTATGAGCTAGGCTGTGAGTGAGGCAGTTTACAGGTGGGGATGGATTCAAGTATCCTGGGTCTTTGTGATATAGATAAACAGAGAAATTACATTTCTCTGTTCTCGTGGCTTCACAAAAGTTGCCACAGCAACAAGTGGAATTTTTTCTATAACAACTTTTTTTTTTTTTTTTAAAGACACACAGGCTGTAAACTCAGCATTTCGGGTTAATGTTTCATTTACTCAAGAAATGGATTACTGGGCAACATGAAAGTACTTTAACTATGTTGCTTTTCAGTCATTACATTATTTAATATGTGCAGTTAATAATTCCTGAGTTTAGCCTGTTATGCCTCTTGTTGGATTCCCTTCAACTGTCTTTAGGGTATTATCAAAAATATCCTTAAGAGACTTATTAAATTATAGAAAATCTGTCACTTTTATTTTTTATAGAATCACAGATTTATACGGCTAGAAAAGGCATCATGAATTGCAATCCAAGTGGGTCAGGATTTTCTCTACACTAATCCTTAGCTTTATGTATCAGAGGGGTAGCCGTGTTAGTCTGAATCTGTAAAAAGCAACAGGACCCTCTGTTCCTTAGCTTTATGTAACCTGCTCTAAAACATGTCCTTGGCAGATACTACTGAAACTGCTTAATTGCCCTTACTGCTAGGCAGAGTCGATAAAAATCAACTATTTTTTAAAAATCAGATTTTTTAAATTTAAATCGGATTTTCTAATTTAAATTAAATATGGGCTTATTTTTTAAAAACAAACATAAGTAAATCTGAAATTATGACAACCTACATTAAGGTCTAAACTTACAATAATCTATTAAAATAATTTAAATTAATTTTTTTTAAATTAAGCAATACATGTTTGCTGCCAACTTTCAAAGAAAGTCAAATCACTGAACTGGCAGAAATCACTGGCTAACCACCTGGAACATCATGGTTTACTGAAGCGCTAAACCAGCTTTTAAAATCAGTAGCCACTTCTGCAGGTGCAGAAAGAATATTTTTTTATTTCAGTTTATTCTACTAGTTCATCTCAATGACTAATTCATTCAAAGTTGAAAAACCAGCTGGGTGATGAAAAAAAAAAGCAGGAAAGTTTGTTTTCCTCTTCCAATATATTAAAAAAAACAGGTGGGAGAGGATGAAATCTACGAGTTCTAAAATCCTGAAGGACGTGGTGACCAGAAACAATCAGTTCAATTAACGAACTACGAATACTACTTCCTTTGTTTAAAAATGAAGTTTGTTTTCAATGCAAAACTTATTTTGATAAACTTTTTATCTTCTGTATCCAACGCTAACTAAAGATAAAAATTAAAATGCTGTTTTGTGCATTTTTAATTGAATTTTAATTTCTATCCAAACAAAACTTGACAAATTATGTACAAAACTGATAATAAAAAGATATGAAATGTAAAAATTGAGAATCTAAGTAAACATGAGTTAAGCTATATAACTGCTTAAATAAATATATATAGATATATATTATATCCACCTTATTAGCAAAACAAAAAAAACCCAACAACACAAAATTTAGTGTAAAGGCTATATTTAGTTGCAAATCAACATGTTTTAATGGTTGCCAACAAAGGAGACCCAACCTTTATTTAGGAAAATAACTAAAAAGTATAAATGCAAAACAAGATTAAAGTATAGAAGCTCCTTCAGTACAAGTGTCCCTATAGACACCAGTGTATCTCCCGGATTATTTGAATTAAATCAATCATGTATAGTTTGGGTCTCATCTTTTTGATAAAAATAAGATATTCCTGCCCTTATCTACCGTATGGATCCAATCCTGTAAACAGTTAGGCCTGGTCAATACTTAAAAGTTAGATTGACCTAACTATATTACTATGTCAACCTAACCCCTGGTATAAACACGGCTAGATTGATGGAAGGATTCTACCACCTCTCAGAGAGATTGCGGAAAAGCCTTTCCATCGATGTAGAGAGCATCTATGCTGTGGTGCTGCAGCAGCTGTAGCCGTGGTAGTGTAGATATAACCTTAGTACACCATTTAACCCCAGTTGAAAACAAAGAGACCAGACCCACAATAGTAACCACTATCCTTGGAAGTGAATGTTTGCAGGGTTGAGCACTAAATGTTCAAATGAGATTTTAAAAAGTCTTTCAAATATAAAATATATTGCTTCTCCACCTTTACAGCTTCAGGGACCTCATATAAAATACAGCATTAAAACAAAAGTTTTAATTAATATTTATAATATTTACAATACAGAAGTTGTAAAACACCCCGAAATAATAAAAAAGGAAGTAAAAGTCTACCACAATAGGTTCTTCCCTTTCCCTATCCCTAAAGGTCAGGAGAAGGGATATTTCACTGCTCTTGAGCTACTGAAGCTAAAGCATGGACAGTGTTCATTCTGCTCCTCTATGCCCCCAGGACCAAAAGCACAATTCCCTCCAAACTAGAAGGGTAGCAATGCATATAAGGTTTTAGAAGCTCAGCAAAATAGTGTAACAAGGTGACATGCTGGCTTAATATAGCCAAGTTTTTTTATTTTACTACATTAATTTTACCCATATTTGATTTTCTAGTAACCAACTCTTGCTATATTCCAACTCTGGTCTACAGAAACTGAAAACGTTGCAGCCTGGACTTGATTCCATACGTTTCTGCAGAGAAAGCACATAATGTTCCCTGATTTGGTGAATGGCAATATCCTGATCCATGAACCAAATTATATTACTTTCCCTGTCAGCCTGGTTCTATCTTCCACTCTCCTTTTCCTATGCTATGGTGAAGATTGAGAGATGAACACATCTACCCATGACAATGGTTCTTATTTCATTGATAAAATACTGTAACAGAATAGCTTATAGTACATTTTGGGATGGAGGATATGGCAAACAGAAATAATTCTATCTATAAAGGGTTTCATTTAGAAGTGGCAAATTTCAAGTTCAGATGCTTACTTGGCCGTTACTTCAAACTTTTGAACTCTGCTTTTCATAGTTGTCCAGGCTCTCTCCCCTCCTCAAACAACCCCAAGCCCAACCAGTCTCACTCCCGCTAACTTTGCTCCATAGCTTTCAAGGTGGACTAACTGTCGTTGGAGGAAATGACTAAGTAGCCTGTTCCCTTCTGCAATGTAAGATTCTTTTTTATGAGTCTCCTAGTTCCCACCTGTAATGTCTTCACTATTGTAATTATTATCCACATATTTTAAAAGTGTCTCATGATGTTTTATAACTGAGAAAACAGACTTGAAATATATCCACTTTCACTGGCTATATGCTGTTCCTATAAGTGCCTGTATGCCCATATTATTGGAAAGTGTTTATGATTGGCAATGTCCTAGCTTTGAAATGTGTGAAATAATGGCTTTTTAGGACAGCTGCTAAATTAGGACGCATCCTGCATAACCCATGTCACATTAGCACTGTAGCTAAAGTATAAGTATACATGGGGAATTCAAAGGGAAATTAGTGTGAAATAGCTAGGGTCTGAATTTAAAGCACAATAACTATTCAGCACTAAATTCTCCACGTGGAGGCTCTTATTCTGCACTAACAAAGGGTGTCTACATGGGAGTTAGTGCAGAATAGCTA